CCGTCCCAAAAAAAAAAAAAAAAAAAAAAATGTTTTCTGGAGCCGAGCATGGTGGCTCACACATGTAATCCCAGCACTTTGGGAGGCCGAGGCGGGTGGATCACGAGGTCAGGAGTTCAAGACCAACATGGTGAAAGTCTCTACTACAAATAGAAAAATTAGCTGGGCACAGTGTCAGGTGTCTGTAATCCCAGCTACTCGGGAGGCTGAGGCAGGAGAATGGTTTGAACTCGGGCAGCAGAGGCTGCAGTGAGCCAAGATCGCTCCACTGCACTCCAGCTTGGGTGACAGAGTGAGACTCTGTCTCAAAAAACAGAAAAAAAAATTTTATTGTGTGGAAATGGGGGTCCCTCTATGTTGCTCAGGCTGGTCTCTGAACTTCTAGGCTCAAGCCATCCTCACACCTTGGCCTCCCAAAGTGCTGAGATTACTGACTTGAGCCACCTCACCCAGTCATGACTCGTGTTTGTGTAAAAATAAAAGGAATATGAAGTTCAAAAAGTGGTAGAAACTCATCTGTGCTGATGGATCAGCAGTGTATGGAGGGGAAGGGCCACAACAGAGATTCCCTGGGTGCCCCAAATATGCCATATTTTAATCTGAATGGTGTTTGCATGAGTATACACATATTATCATTATTTTGAGACACAGTTTTCCTTTTGTTGCCCAGGATGGAGTGCAATGGCACAATCTTGGCTCACCGCAACCTCCGCCGCCTGGGTTCAGGCAATTCTCCTGCCTCAGCCTCCTGAGTAGCTGGGATTACAGTCACGCGCCACCATGCCCAGCTAATGTTTTGTATTTTTAGTAGAGACGGGGTTTCACCATGTTGACCAGGATGGTCTCGATCTCTTGACCTCGTGATCCACCCGTCTCGGCCTCCCAAAGTGCTGGGATTACAGGTGTGAGCCACTGCGCCCGGCGAATTTTGTATTTTTAGTAGAAATGAGGTTTCACCATGTTGGTCAGCCTGGGCAACAGAGTGAGCCTCTGTCTCAAAAGAAAAAGAAAATTAGCTGAATGTGGTGGTGTGTGCCTGTAGTCCCAGCTACTTGGGAGGCTGAGGTGGGAGGATCAGCTGAGCTTGGGAAGTCCCATCGCGGTGGGCTGTGATGGATCGTGCCACTGCAATCAGCCTGGGGACACAGTAAGATCCTGTCCCAAAAAGAAAAAGAAAAGAAAAAGCCTGGATAAACGGGGAGGGTAGAGTTTAGGTGACAATCCAATGGTAGCTTAGAGCAAAGCAAGGTCAACATCGGGTAGAACTGTGAAGTGAAACCAGTGTCCTGAATTCTTGGAAACATGTGCAATGTTGCATCCAGAAACCCTTTATCTGAAGCTCTGCACCTGCGTTGGAAATCAAGGCTGCTACTCTGTATCAAGTGGCTTAGATCCTGCAAGCAAGAACGGGCTGTTTCATTTTTACTGATAGAATTTCCAACAATTTATGTGTAGAGAACAAAGTTTCTCAGTGAGTAGGAAAGCATGTCGTTGACACGGAGGCGCATGCCTGTAATCCCAGCACTTTAGGAGGCCAAGGCAGGCGGATCACCTGAGGTCAGGAGTTCAAGATCAGCCTGACCAACATGGAGAAACCCTGTCTCTACTAAAAATACAAAAATTAACCAGGCATGATGGTGCGCTCCTGTAACTCCAGCTACTTGGGAGGCTGAAGCAAGGGAATCGCTTGAACCTGGGAGACAGGCTGCAGTGAACAGACATCGTGCCATTGCACTCCAGCTTGGGTGACAGCTGACTGTCAAGCTGGATACCATCTCCAAAAAAAAAAAAAGCATATCCTTGAGAGAAATAATGCTTCCTGTTAACTTTGTGGCTGGCTTTATCTCTGTGCGTTACTCCATTCCAATGAGATAGCCCTCTCCCTACCCCAGTTACAGAGAAGGAAGGAAAGAAAGGGCTTTTAATGCAGCTACCATCTCTGAGCAGTATAGCCACTGAGTCAGGGAATACACTTTTTAGCTAATTGTGAAGTCAAAACTTTATTTTGATTTTTATTTATTTATTTATTAGAGGCGGGGTTTCACCGTGTTGGTCAGGCTGGTCTCGAACTCCTGACCTCATAATCTGCCCACCTCGGACTCCCAAAGTGCTGGGATTACAGGCGTGAGCCACCGCACCCGGGCTATTTTTATTTATTTATTTTGAGACGGGGTCTCCCTCTGTCACCCAGGCTGGAGTGCAGTGGCACAGTTGTAGCTCACTGCAGCCTCAACCTCCTGGGCTCAAGGGATCCCTCCACCTCAGTCTCTGGAGTAGCTGGGACTATGCGTGTGTGCCACCATGCATGGCTAATTTTGTATTTTGTGTAGAGAGAGGGTTTCGCCATGTTGCCAAGGCTGGTCTCAAACTCCTGGGCTTAGGTGATCCACCCGCGTCAGCTCCCCACAGTGCTGGGACTACAGGAATGCATCACTGTGCCCGGCTAAAACTCTTTTATTTTTTATTTTTATTTTTTTACCCTCCACACCCCTGGCTAAAACTCTTTACGATAATAAAGATGCTGTATCAAAACTATTAAGCCCACAAATATGAAAATTAGCCAGGCATGGTAACATGTGCCTTTAATCCCAGCTACTCAGGAGGTTGAGGCAGGAGAATAGCTTGAATCTGGGAGGCGGAGGTTGCAGTGAGCCAAGATCATGCCACAGCACTCCAGCCTAGGCGACAGAGTGAGACTCTGTCTCAAAAAATTAAAACAAAAATAAAAACATAAAGAAAAGAAGTTTTATTGGCTCATGGTTCTGCAGGCTGTACAGTAAGTGTTACACAGGCATCTGCTTCTGGGGAGGCCTCAGGAAGCTTCCATTCAAGACAGATGGTGAAGGGTGAACAGGCATCTCACATGGTAGGAGAAGGAGCAGGAGAGAGCGGGAAGGTGCTACACACTTTTTTTTTGTTGAGACAGTGTTTCGTTCTTGTTGACCAGGCTGGTGTACAATGGCACGATCTCGGTTTACTGCAACCTCTGCATCCCGGGTTCAAGCAATTCTCCCGCCTCAGCCTCCCAAGTAGCTGGGATTACAGGCATGTGCCACCACAGCCAGCTAATTTTGTATTTTTAGTAGAGACGGGGGTTTCACCATGTTGGTCAGGCTGGTCTTGAACTCCTGACCTCAGGTGGTCCTCCCGCCTCAGCCTCCCAAAGTGCTGGGATAACAGGCGTGAGCCACCACGCCCAGTGGTGCTACACACTTTTAAACGACCAGCTCTTGAGAGACCTCACTGTCGTGAGGGCAGAACCAAAGTGAGGGTGCTAACCATTCCTGAGGAAGCCACCCCCGTGAGCCATGTGCACATCTGGCAGGCAGTGACAACACCCAGAGCCTCCCTCCAACACTGGGAATGAAATTTCAAGAGATTTGGGCAGTGACACAGATCCAAACCATACCTCAACCACCATGTTATTTATTCCTCAGCAAAGGAAAGTCAGTCGTAGCATTTCCCCTTTACTGATGAAGAGACAGAGAGGCTGGGGGAGAGTGTATGCAGGGACACTTTCTACCCACACACCATTCGTTTCCTGAGGTCACATGTGCCATCTGGCTCCAGTGCCCAGGCCTCCACTTAACTGGTGAAATTGTTACGGGATCTTTGGGGTGTTGCTTTTCTGGCCAGAAACCTCTGTGCCTGACGGCACCTTTGCCCTAGTTCTTGTCCTGTGTCCAGGAAGAATGAGGTATGCAGCCGAGTGAAGGGTGAACAAGATGAAGAGGAGCTTTCCTGAGCGTTACGACAGCTCAGAGGAGACCTGCAGTGGGTAGGTCCTCTTTGTAGGCAGGTCATCCCGTTAAGTGCTCAGCTCTCAGCAGAGAGGAGGTCCTGGAGAGGGCAGCTCCTCTCTGTAGCTGATCATCATGTTGTCTCTCTATCCGCTGCCTGCTCTGGCGGAACACAGGACTTTTATGGGCCTCAGAGCGGGGAAGCGCATGCTTATTGGTCCATGGGCAGCCATGGGTAGGCCCAAGAAAAAGCACTGTGAGATCCCCCTCTGGTC